AATTACAATAAAGGCCATAAATTCTGTTATGCACAGAACGGCAGCACAGGTGACTACAGTCTAAGCTTCATCTGTGTCTCCCCTGCATCAATGTCTTCCTGCCATTGACCTTGAAGGACAATCTTGAGAAGTTGCAAGAGCAGTTAAATCTAAAAGCCTTTTCTATCTTTAGCCTCTTTAGTAAGAGTCCCAAAATAATCTGTGTTAACTGTGTTAGCATTTGGGAGATGAAGGACATCTCTCTACTAAAAGCTATACTACAACAGGCCTGTTATAAAAATTTATTTTAGAAAAACATTTCATGTCAAATACAAAACAGGCTTTAAGAGCACATACTAAAAATGAAATAAGCCAAGGTATGTTTTTATCTCCCTTTACCTTCAAAGAGTCAATAAAATCAAATATATCCTTGGTTATCTGCTGGAAGCAGGTATTTTTGATAATTCTTAATATATAATTTTTTAACCTCAAGCACAAGCTTTTTCTGATTCAGAAAATCAACTAAATTCAATGGAAGAAGCTGGTCCCTGCTATCAAACACTCAAATAGGCTGATGACAAAGCAAAATGTATCTCACTGGAACATAATCCACTGGGTCATTCGTTGGCATGACGAAGTAAAAAACTCCTCTTGCCTTGAACTGGAACAAACATAAGCTACAACAAAAATTCAGCACCAGCACAGCTCATCTGAAAATGCATTACTATATCTGAATGGGCGAAGCTTAACAGCAGTAAAAATCTGTAAGCCCTTAAAAAACCCTCAGTCCTACTCATCTGCACTTTCTAACATGAACTAGAAACTTCTTTCCGGAACGGATGAATTCATCCAAACCCTCAGCTTTTGTTGCAACTCCTGTACTGCGTGTTCATTCTGATCCACCTGTACTTTTAAAACAAAGGTTCTCAATAGATACGTCTTTTGAGAAAGCCTCTATGGGCTTGAACAAAACCTATTTCAATTTTGGAGGGATCCCACATTTTTCCTTGTAGACAACTGACTATTAATATTCTGTTTCCTCCATTTTCAGAGAGGATTTGTTAACCTTCCTCATGTCACTAGCAGTTTCCAAATTTCCATGTAGCAGGGAGTTTGCAAACTTGTATACCTGCAGTTTTATTTAATTTTAGAATAATTTTTTTTTTTTTTTTTAAACATATTTACTCTGACTTCAAGTCAAGTCAGATCACTGACCACTGATCAGGTGACAGAAGTCAGGTAAACACACATCCAGACAGCATCATGAAGCATTTTGCTGGTTCTGTGAAACCGTGAAAAGTACAAAAAGATTTGTGACTCAGCACTGGCGAATGCCAGCTTGCCCATTACCACTTTCCATACCTGCTGCTGAATCTGTCCAGCCTGCACAACGATCTGCTCTGTGGAACTGTTACTATTCGCTGTGTACTGCTCCATAGTGCTTCAGTTCCAATACAGTAAAAGGCACACCTCAGTCTGTGTATCTGGCAAGAGAAGTTAAAAAGCACGTGATTATTATCCCAAGGTTTGAAGATTAGTATTATCTTACAAAAGCTGAAAAGCAAACCATCTGCTGACATTGAGGTCAGAATCACACAGTAAGAGCTGCTGTTTAATCAAGGACCTACCTCTTTCATAATGTCACCTTACTTTCACTGAGTTACAAAATTAGAATTGTAATTTCAAGAACATAAAACTTGACTGAGAAGCAAAAGGTGTCTCAGTCTCAATTCTGTCCTTACCTTCAGTAAATCAAGCAGTAGCTATGAACCTGTTTCTCTTCCTGTTTTACCCCTCGAGCCAGCATGTTCTGCGCTAAACAGTTGCCTACACTGAATATTGGTGGAGGAGAGGGGTGTTACCCCTAAAAAACCTCACAAAATACGAAGTTGAGGTGTAAAACCAAAGTACATTTCAAGAATTCAACAAAGCTAAGTCAAACCGTCTCTCCTTCCCCAACCACGCAGCGCTCCCTCCTCATTCCTTTTTCTTCTCTTCCTACTTTCATGTATTTTGAAAATAGCCAGCAGACTTCTCACAGCTTCCATCCTTTTACTGCCTCTCATTTCTTGGACCCTTGCCTACACATATGAAGAACACACTGCTGAAATAAAATACTTTGTTCCATTACCTCCTTTTCCCTCACATTTTTTCGCTTCTCAGTTGATCAACAAGGGAAGAATTCTTACTATTACTTTTAATGAGGTATTTGATTTATGCTATGACTGAACGAGTACCTGCTACATTAGTGAAAGAACAGCCTATAACTTTAATCTTTGAAGTCTAAAGCAACAAAAAACCCAGGCCCCTTCAGTTTTCAAAGAAATGCACGCAAAATTTATTCACAACTTAAGCTAACTGTAACTGTTGCTGTGGTTACTACTGCAATGATACCCCTCACTTCCTGCTCTTTAACTTTAAACCATCCTTTGTACTTCAGCGTCTTGCATTTATCTTAGAAACACTTCCATTTTTTCATCAACTTATTCCTCACTGTGACCTAAGAAAACGTGCAATGATTTCATATTTTGCTGTTTTCTTGCACGTTAACATCAAATGTCGCTTACCTACAAAAATAAACGATTAACCAGTATCTATCATGACAGACCAGAAGCATGCTCATTGCAGGGGACATAATACTCAGCCATAATAATGTTGGAACCTTCTCAATTCCTATCAGATCTTTTTTTTTTTTTTCTCAGAGTAAGGATGTCATGATGCTAACCCTGGAGATCACAGATAATCTGAGTCACAGCACTGAAAGGCACTACATTTTACTGCAATTTTAACTCCGTCCTTAGCCCATTTAGTAACAGTTTTTCACAGCCTGCCAGAATAAAAGAAGATAAATATTCTTTCTGAAGATAATACTGCCTACCACCTTCTCATTTCAATTTTGCACTGTATACTTGATTTCTGCCCTAAATGCCTGTGGGCCTGTAAGAAAACAGCTCCCACATTTCACTCGTCAGGGAAGCAGTTCAAGAGCAAGCACAGGATGCCAATGAACCGCGTTTGCCAAAAGTTCTTTGGCTTCCCTAACAGCACAACCAAGAATCAAGTGCAGGCATACCTCTACTTGGGAATGCTTCTTCACAAACCCCCGTACCAAGCCCCTGTTTTGTTTACTTAAAATATTAGCAGCACAGTAATCCTCTCTGCACCAGCTGTGGCTAGCCAAAGGTACAAACAGAAGCTTTTACGTGTCCTCCAAGGGATTACTTCAGGCCCTCCATTAAAACACAGAGCCCCAGCGTTATTATATCAAAGTTAAATTTTAAAGACCAGCGATCTACTTCAATGGCACGCTCCTCCCCCAGCTGATCTCACCAGGCGGCTCCTCCTCACCAGGCCCTTCTCTGCACCGAGAACGACTCCAGTGTTCCAGCTCAGCGTATATTCATATACATACATATGAGGCTACAGAAGCTACATCAACAACAGTCCTCTAGGCAAATAAGCTATGCTGAGAACAAACCAGTGCGATACAACTGTGCTAAGACTTGAGCTAGCTTGAAAGCATCATTTTAAAACGCGTTGCACCCCGAAGCAACATTACTCAATTGGCAGAAGTTTCTAGGGCAGACCCTGTCAGTCTGCCCAGATGATCGCTGTCCTCCAAGGACACCAGCGGAAAACAGACACCCACGCAAAGCCGAAGACGGGATTTAACGGAACAGCACAGACAGGCCACGCTCTTATCTCCCGCTGTTCGGCAGAGTAAAACACGCAGCACCCAGATTTTGTTTCCCACCTCCTCATCAAACATGCAAGTCAAAGAGTTCACCCAGGGACGGTTTTTATTTTATTGCAGAAAGCCTCAGACCTGGGGGTTTTCCCGGCGGGCAGAGCAGGCTGCGCCGTGCTCGGGCGGACGAGGCGATGCCCGGCGGTTCAGGGAGGAGAGAGCAAGGCAGCACCGGGGCCCCTCGCCCCCGCGAACAGGGCGGTTTCTCCTCACAGGGGAGCACGTGGCCGGCGACATTTGGCGCCCAGGTGCGTTTAGGGGAGGCGGGAGGGGGAGCGCGCACGCCCGGCACGCTGGCGGCCCCGGGGAGGAGGAAGGGGGGGCAGCGACCTGCCCTCGGCGC